TTATAGCCTACATAAGAATACCTTCCAAAACGTTCCTTCCAATTTATAACGAAAAATTTAGTGCTATTCAGAACCGCAGTCGTTTAAGAATCAAGAGGAGCGAAGGTAAATTTGTCATTCTATACTCATCGTCGCAGAAATCAGTGAATATTGCCGGCTCAGAAACCACATCATATGAGTTAGGTGGCTTGATCTTATGCTATCTTATAATCCCATACCTAAGCAAATTTTTTTAACTTATCTTAGTTATCAAATCTGAGATACTTTGAATCTTACTGCTGGCCATACTATGGAGTTGTTGAAAATCATCTGGAGAGAGAATTCTGACCAGATCCCGCAGGGTGAAATCACTTAACTAGTAAAATAAAAAAGCGATCTTCGAAGGCACGAAGAAGATTCGAATAGGAGTTAAACGAAATACTTAGAATACTGAAAGGTCAATGCCTATTGCCTAAGCAAACTTGGAGCAAAAAGAAGAAGCCTGAATCGAGGACCAATTGTTAACCAGAGGAAAAGGGATCGCGAAGAAGCGAGCGAGGAATATTAGAAATTAAGAATATACGTTTTTAGTGAGTGTAGTCAGTTCGAGGAAGCACGAGCAAATGGCAGAAACGAGGTCAAACCAATTCGCTACAGCGAAAAGAGACTGAGACCAGAACAGAGGTCTCAGATCTCTGTCTTCATATCTATGATTAGGCATAAAAGGGATGACAAGCGAGAGGCTCTCGAATAATTATCACAAAATAAGATACGGCGAAAATGAAAATTCAAACCAAGGAAGCATCTACAGGATTTGCAGGTTTGTTACTAAAAGGAATAATGAATATGGTAGGCGTTATGGATAGCCCAGTCAACAAGGCCAGAAATCGACTCCAGAGATTCAGCGAAGACTCAAGAAATAAGTTCTAAGTTGCCTCAAAGTAGACAAGTAAAACGATAAAGGTGAACAAAATGTCTGGTCATATAACTTACCAACCCAAAAAACGTGCAGAATTGTGATAAGGGGATACAAGGGGCTAAGTTGGATTGTATTAGTAAAGGGATATCAGCAAGCTAAGAACCAGGGCTTAGGAGCCCTGCTTAACGAGACCATTATATAATACAATCAAATTATTGGGGCATATCATGGGAAATAACACTTCCAGAAG